CGTTTCTTATTGTTTGTAATTTTTTAGCTACATAACATCCGCGGTAGTTTGCAGGATGGTTTTCTCCACAATGAACACATTTTGGTTTATCTTCTGGTGGTTTTTGGCAATCTTTAGTAAGGTGTTTACCAATACATTTTACACATCTTGGCTCCTTTTTACAGTATTTCCACGTTACGAAGTACTTACTATTTCGTAAACAGGTTACGAAGTTTTCAGACTTAATCTCCGGAATTACTAACAGTGAAGGAAGTGAAAAGCATAGGCCAGATCGGCAACAGCCAAATTCACAAAAATTTGGAAGAACACTCACATCACAAAAAACACAAAATTACGCCTTGTTCGAGCATTGGTATTTCCTACTGCCACCTGTGCTTCAGAAACTTGGGACATTAAAAAAGCCGATTTAAAGCGTATAATGGCATTGTAGTTTTTCCTTTTCTTAAGGTCAATTCTGTTTATTTGGCTTATTTTACTCAATCTGTCACGTCGGCATGACGTCTATCTTGGCGGCTATGTGCGTAGATAATTTTTTGTGAAAACTGTTTTTTTAGTTTTGCTTTTATTGTAATGTTTTTTGACATTTTTGTAGTTAAAATAACAACTAAAACCGTAAAGTTGATTCAGATTGCGGTGTTTTAAAAAAATGAGTGAACCCGTAAATACTTTTTCATGCCTATTTGCCTGTGTGCCTAATTTTCAATGAAGCTGTAACAATATTTAAGGAATTTAACCACTACCGACACTTCACGGTAAAACAACAATGTTACTTACCTACGAAGCTCTTATCTTCTACTGAAAGCAGGAGCTCTATTTAAAAAACTGTCAGGTCAGCAAAATATTTTTTAAAAACAAAGTTGTTCTCCAAAACAAACTATACGTGCCAGTTACTTTGTAGCATATAATATTATAAAAAGTAACAAAGTTGTCTGTTGGTTAAATTGTAGAGACTTGTATGCTGCAAGTATGTTATTTATTGTGTCCTGACAAAAAGAAAGACGTTGAGACAGTAAGTTTGTTCTGACAAAAAATTCTAGGATTGAAGTAATCTATAGTCATTTTATCTCACAACTGAAGTCAAAGATAAGAGAGTTTAAATTCTGTTCTTTTGCGTTAGATGAAAGTACAGACATAACTAACACGTTCCAGTTATTTATATTTATAAGAGGTATGAATGAAAACTCTTGTCTTTCTGAAGAGTCAGATTGTATACGTCCAATGAAGGGATCAACAAAATTACCTGTAAGAGATATTTGTAACATTTGTAAATATTAATGAAGCCCCAAATATGACAGGGACAAACTCTGCTTTCCCATGCATGTTTAAGGGATCATTTCCTTGGATCGAAGTAATATTTCTTTATCGTATCATACATCAACAAGCTCTGGTTAATCTGTTCAAGACATGAAACATGTGCTTGATGTTGATATTAAGATTTTTATTCGTTCACAAGATCTTGATCATGGACAATTTTAATAGTTTCCTGATTCATGGCAGTCTGAATAGTTCGATGTACTTTACTACAATAAAGTAAGCTATTTTATGGTTTTCGGACATTGCATTTTTTACAGATCTTCTTAGTCACATCAATAAATTACCCCTATAACAAACCCTTAACACCAGGAAAGAAATTAATTATTCCATGATATTTGGGGTCATATTAGGGCTTTTAAATTATAATTGAGTCTATTTTCTAAACACCTAGTCAAGAAAGATCTTAATCATTTTTCAAAACCAAAAACCAGTACAGATATTACAATCTTAAGAACTATTAGAAAAGCGTAAAATGTCTATGACGAGTTTGAGTAAAGATTCCAGGACTTCAAAGTTATCTAACAGGACCTGAACATTTTCAGCATGCGGTCTAATAAGGAATGTGAATCAGTAAAACAAGAATTGCATCTGGAACTTAGTAAGTTGTAATGAAACACTAAATTGAAGCAACTATTTTTTAATGCTTCTAAAACTGACTTCTAGAAGGCCCTGCCAAAATCAAGTTTCCCAAACCTGAAATCTCATGTTCAGAAGATAATTGCGATATTTGCATCTTCCTATGCGAAAAGGTGTTTTCTACTTTGACGCTTGGCAAAAACAGCATTAGAAACCAATTGACTGACCAGCACTTAGCTTTACTCCTGTAAATCAGCTGAAACCAGTTTCTGCCAGATTATTAACAATTTTTAGGAGAAACTGTAAGTCTCAGATTCATATGTGACATACAACTTCAAAATCTGCTAAAGAATAATCTATTTATGTAATGTATTTTCGATGTTTTTAACCATTTTTACACATAAGATACGTGTGATGTAAAATTAAAATATAAAGTTCATCACTAATAAAAACTTGTTATTAATTTAGCCCGCTTGGAGAATGTTTTTATTTTATGTGGCCCTTTGGTTCAATAGATTACCCTTGTCTGGTTTAGTGCATGTCAAAATATATTTAAAATAGTTATACCTATGTGATTTATAATTTAAATTTTTTACTCAATTAAGTTTTTTTAATTTTTTTTTAATTATTAATAAGTTATTAATTCAAAGTGCGAAAGGGACAAGTCCTGTCCGAACTCGGAAACCCAGAGGCTGGAGTACCACAAGGAGCGGTACTGTCACCTCTATTGTACACAATATAGAACAGGGATAGCGGCCAAACATAAAAATATAGACATAGCGGTAAATAATCTACAAACAGCATTAGACGACATAGCACCAGCAACCAAAACAACAAGTGACTGTGCAAAACAACCCCATCGAGTGCAAAAGCGAAGCGAAATACCTCGGAGTAATTATGGACAAAGGCTTAACGTTCAGTAAACACGTAGACGCCACAGTATAAAAAGCAAACATGGCCAAAGAGGCCTAGCAGAAAGGAAAAGTAAACTAAGAATAAAAATAAAGTTAAGACTTATAGAATAAATCTTCCTATAGTAACATATGCATCTCTCGCATGGGGGCACATATGCAATACAAACAAAAAGAAAATACAAGCGGCACAAAAAAGCAGCCAACGTACTACAAGATACATCGCAGAAAGATTCCTCTTTAGAGAATTGTAGCAAATCAGAGTGACTCAAATCATGAAAGCTAAGGCAAGAACGAAGTTCGTAGAGATCGAGAACCATTCAAGTCACATAATGCAAGAGATGATGAGGTATAACGGTTTCCACAGATGGAAGCAGAAAAGACATATACTAGAAAGACATATACTAAATTGAAAGAAAACTATACTAGAAAGAAAATAACAAAACATCAAAGAGCAAACTTACAAAAATAACATAGCAGAACACTAGAAGACAGTTCCTAGCTCAAAAAACTCGTGGACAACCGCAGAGTTGCTTTAATTGGAGAAACTCTACATTGTCATATATTTGCATATATTTTTCAATATTATATTATAGACATTGTACTAATTAAGATTTTTATGTTTCAGGCAACCTACAAAAAAAATATTTTTAAAATACAAAAAATTTAAACCGTTTAAATCGTTCACCAAAAAAATTTAAACTAACAAAAACCGACGCAAGCCAACAAAAAAAATGAACAAAAACTTCAAAACCCGGGCACGTAGGGCCCAACCTCTTGAGAAAAAGTCTCCGAACTGGACCTAGCTCAGAGCGGAGTCTTGAGAGGCCTAAGTAAGCAATTTTTAGTTCGCAGATAATTCGCATTAAGATAACAGGATCATAGCGACAATGCGCTGTCCTGAGTTTAATTTCGGTTAGGAAACCATGTTGTACTTCTATTACCCAGGACTCCCACATGAAGAGCATTTAGCTGATATTTGTGCCCCTATCGAGCATCAGAGTGCTATAGGGGAGAATGGAATGGAGCGCGGTGGAGTGACTCCTGTTTTTAGTTGAGTTAATACACCTCTCTCCAATGAATTGTTACACCCGAACGTAATTCTTAGGGGTGAACATGTCTCACAGGCTAAGTTTGATTAAATTTTTTGCTGGCTTGCAGTGTTTTGTTGGACCAAGATAAATTTATTTACCAAGAGCCAAGACGCTAGAACTTTTCCTTTAAGGAAAACAAAGTTTAAGAAATAAGCAGCCATCTCTTCACCCCAAACTCAATACGGTTTTTCTTACAATTATTTTTATTTAGTGTATGGGAATATATTGTAATATAAAACATTTTAAAAATAAAAAGTTTGTGGAATTTAATATTACATATTGCGTTGGACCGAAGAAAGGAATTTCTTACAGTAACAGGCACTTCTGTACCTAGTTTCAAGACTCTATAGCTTGCTTATCAAGAAAAAGAAACGACATAAAAATATGGGAACAAGGCGCAAATACAATAGCTCTGAGTCTGCTATCACAAATTCAATATAGCAAAGAAAATAGGACAGTAAAAAAATTAAAATAAAGTAAAGAACAAGAAAAGTGAAATAATGATAATGAGCAATAAAATGGATATTGGATTATGGTGATTTCTTAATAAAATTAATTGACAGTCGCTTAAAAAGTAATACCAAAAAAATTATACTATGCCATAAATAAAACTTCAGGACAAAGGAAATAAACCTGAAGATTAAAGAGAGAGTTTACTAGGCAATAGTACTACCTACTATAATATATGCTAGCCAAAAAACATTAAATAATTATATATTATTTAATACATAATTAGAAGACTAACTGAAAAACGGAGTATAATTAACAAAAAAGTAAAGTGGCAAACGCTTAAAATATATAAAAAATAAGGCAAGCCAAGAAAAACTGGAAAAGAGAAATAAATTTAATATGAAACATGAAATTTAATTTAGATAGGATCTAAAAGATATCAAATACGATAATGGGTAGAAAGATATACGGGAAAAAAGAATATTTGAAAATCTAGGGGCTGGAAGGGCTCTTGCTGGACGTATTAAGATTAACATAATGTATATATAAGCAAAACAACTACCTTATTACAAAATGTATTGCAAATAATAATTTCAATTAGTATAACGTATTATTAAACGATATTTACAAACATACAAATTTTGATTATAAATACCTTTCATCGTCACTTTCCATTATGCCCATCATTATTACGTTAATAACACACGACTACCGTTGAACTTGATATTAAACACTAGCTTGGCACGCAATCTAACATAGACTGAATAATGAAGGCGAAACTGTTAATTTATGTATGGATGGATGTAAATTTCAACAATGATAAGATTTAAAAAAACATGAATGAGTATTATTTTGTTATCCTATCTTTTGTTGTCAAAACGGTTTTTTATTATATTTGGTTTTAAATGTCGTAATTAAATCCAAAGATACTAACCGTAAAATAATGTTTAACATTCGTTATAGAGAGAAGTGTATTGTTATAAAAATTTTATTGTTATACGGAGTGAGTTTTAAATGCGACATTAATTAATCGATAATTTTTGTATGGAACAGAGTATCCAAAAAACACTGATATTCTGCAGGCTTGGAAAATATGCCAAATTCTACAGAGTAATTAATACCTACATGATAAATCAAACATATAATTTTTTAAACAGGACACCCTGTATACTTTGTCATATTTAGATTCCTCTCATAAACCCTGTTCTTACATTTACGGTCATTTTTATTTTGATATCACTATGAAATAAACACCCAGTATATAAAGAAGGAATACATAGATAATTTTTTATTTTACATACTTGTTTACAAAGGTAAACAATGTTCAAGTTTAACAGAAATCTTCGACAAATATACAGGGTGAATGAACTACAAAAAAAAATATAAAGAAAAAATACATACAAAGATTTTCTCATATTGTTTAAATGTACAAACCCTATATTTTTGCTGACTGTAAGTCCTACCCATATGCTTTGGATATGGGAAAAATCTACTGTTCAGTCTGTGGCAAAATTGTAAGTATCTAATATTTTCTATTAAATATCTAATATTTCATACATACAGGGTTTTTCCAAATGACACTTACAACGTTTGACTGTAGATACTTCTCGAAAAATTGAACAAAACGATATAGTTAATGAGGGGTCAAACTTATTTACTTTTCGAGATACAGGGTGTTAAAATTAAAAAAAAATTAAATTCTTTTAGTTAATAACAACAATAACTTTAAAACCAATAAACGTATTTACTTGAAATTTAGTACTCGTAGGTTGTTTTTAAATGAAAAATAGCTTCCTTTAGTGAGAAAAAATTGTCCATGGTACAATACAATGGTGTGTATTTAGAAAAATTTTTCACCTTTATTTTTTTTTATGAAGTCAGCTATTCTAAAACACAATTATTTTTATTGTAATTGAATTAACAAAAAAAAAACTTTTGTTGAATTTTAAAATAAGTTATATGATGTACTAATGGTTAGTAACAAAAACTAATTTGTGGATTAATACTGCATTTAAAACACTTAGCGAGTGTTTTTTTTTTCCAAACCAGTTATTTGATTAACCAAAAACACCTTGTATATTTTTATATTTTAAAGGTTGGGTTAAAATAAAGGTTTTTATTTTTATTTATAGATAGCATGTGAGAAGAAATTTCAGATAGACCAACATGTGAGAACTGCTTCACACATTGCAAAAAAAGAAAAATCGGAGGAAAACATCAAACTTCAATGGCTAAATGTTTCCAATCTACTTCAAAAAAATTAGATGAGCAAGAAACTTTTAATGAAGACTTGTGTCGCGCATTAGTGTCTGCAAACATACCGCTTTCAAAATTAGCATATGTAAATTTTAGTTCGTTTCTAAAAAAATATTGCAAACTTAATGTTCCAAGTGAGTTCCGGTCTCTAAGAAGAAATAATGTGAACGGGCTATACTCGTCGGTGTTAATTAATATTAAGGAAGAAATTGCAGATAATTATTTTTACATATCTGTAGACGAAACCACTGATTCCTCAGGAAAGTATATTGCTCATTTATTGATTGGTGTTCTTAAAGAAGATACCTTACCAAAATCTCATCTTATTTCATGGCCAGTAACTTGAGAAAACAAATGCTTTAACAATTTCGCGTTTTATACAAGAAACATTAGCAACTTTTTTTCTTCCGACAACTATTCCTTCTAATAAATTACTGCTTATTTTATCGGATGCTGCTCCTTATATGGTGAAAGCAGGACAAAATTTAAAAATATTTTTCCCAGATTTAATACATGTTACTTGTGTAGCGAATGGATTAAACAGAGTTGCAGAGGAAATACGAAAAAGTTTGCTCTTGTAAATACCATGATATCCAGTGTCAAAAAAGTATTTCTTAAATCTCCTATAAGAATTCAACTTTATAAAGAAATGCTACCTAACATTCCTCTTCCACCACAACCTATTTTAACGCGATGGGGAACATGGTTAGAAGCAGCTAATTTTTATGCAGATCATTTTGTTAAAATAAAGAACATAATTGATACGTTAACAAATGAAAGTTCCCAATCTCTTTTGGATTCTAAACAAACTATTCAGAGTAACTTGCTTCAACAAGAACTTTCATTTATAAAATCAAATTTTAGTTTTGTTCAAAAAACAATTACTCAGTTAGAATCACCAAAACTGTCATTGTTCGAAAGTACAGCATTAATAAAAGAATTTGCGTCATGTTGTCGGAACGTTAGAGGTAATATTGGAAAAGATATTTTTAAAAAATTTGAAGCTATTATGGAAAAAAATAAAGGTTACCATATTCTTTCTGAAGTAGTCAGTGTTCTAGCTGGAAATATTTCGGAAACAATTAATTTAGAACCAAATGTTTTGGTTAGTTTGAAAAATGCTCCCGTTACATTCAGTTGATGTTGAACGAAGTTTTTCCATATATAAATATATGTACTCAGACAGAAGCCACAAGTTTTTGTTAGAAAATTTTGAACACCACTTGGTCATTTATTGTTACCATAATTCTAAATAAGTTTATTCATACTTAAAAATGATGTAGTTACTTAAAATAAATGTAAATCTTAATGAATAGTAGGAAATATGTAGTTATGTACACTTTTTTTTTAAATAAAATTGTTACTATTTTACGATTTTTTTATTTATTTATATGCATATTTTGTAAAATATTTGCATATTTTAGGGTAAACACGTGCATATTTATGCGCATATTTTCTACATCTTTATTTGCATATTTGCCGAAGTCTAGTCATAAGTATCGGTTCCAAATTTATTTATTGTAAAGCTCTAGGCAGTGTTGATTTGATAAGTTAAATCATTGTTTTTTTATTACCAACTAAATTTTCATTTTGTAATTCATAGTTTAAGACAAGACGGATTCACACTTGAGAGACTGAGCTAGGCGAAGAATAGGCGATAAGCTCCCATGGTTGATTGAGGCATTATTTTATAATAGTATTTCAATTCTCTTTGGTAGTCTTATCGTTACAATGAAAAAGTCAATCAGGTTAGAGATTTTATTCTGATCCGTTGGCCAATAGCTTGGGTTTCCAGTCGATACTACTTTACAGTTCAATTATTTGCAGACTTTTGCGAGCTCTCTTTATTTAGTGGTGGTTAATCTTGATCCCAATTTAGTATATTTCGCATTGTAATAACCTCAAGGATTGATCTCAATATGTCCACCTTCCAGGAGGAACAAGAAGTAGTAGGATTTCCTGACTGAAAAATCTGCGTAGGTGGTTCAACACAACAACCACAAATATTTTCAGAACAGCAGTGTGCAAAATACAGATTTTCATGATGGTCGCCAACATCCGAAACGGATAGGCGCTCCAAAAAGAATCACCTCCGATGATGAATGTGTACAAATCGAACTGTATTTTATGTTTTGGTGGGCAATACATAGCTGGTACTACTAGGTTATAGGCCTTAGTTTTGATTTTTATAGCCGTGGCTTGTATTTCTTCTGTTTGTCATCTCATTTCCTGATGATGTTATGTGCTCTGTTTTATAATTATTGCGCTTCCTCTTTTGGCTATATTTTCTGGGTGGATAGTATGGTATACCTGACATCCTTTAAACTTGACGTATGAGTGTTTAGTGAAGTGTTTAGGCGATAAGGTATATATCAATCTTCTCTATAGTCTGTGAAGTAACAAAAATCTGTGTGTAATGTGATGAATCCAATCAAGGTGACTTTACACTTATTCCAAAAACACTCGCATATTAGTTGACAATTAGAGTGTCTTTAAGCTCCAATTGATAACTATTGGACAGACAACAGTGGGACAGAACACACAACCAACCGCTTAATTCTAAAAGAGCTTAATATAAAAAATATGCTGTTAAAAAAAGTAAACTGCGCATTCCTAAATAACTTCGGCCACATAGTCGCAAGAATTGGGACTAAGGTACTACTACTATGTAACAGCAACTACTGGTAGTAGAAGGAAAAATTTTAGGCGGAAGATTACGAGATAGATCTTTAACACAGTGGGCAGACCAAGTATAGACTTTGGTGGGAAAATCCGTACATGAAGCCGTCTATCAAGGTACAGTATCGCATTCAGTGGAGATTATCATCATCATCATCATCCAGCCTCTATTTATCACGTCCACTGCTGGACATAGGCCTCCCTTAAACTCCTCCATTCCTCACGATTTTGTGCTCTTTGTTGCCAATTTTTAGTGATACGCCTGATGTCGTCGGCCCAACGTGTAGGTGGTCTTCCTCTACTGCGTTTGTCTGCTCTTGGCCTCCAATTTGTAATTTTGCTCGTCCATCGTGAATCGTGCATTCTCGCTACATGGCCTGCCCAGTTCCATTTTAGTTCCGCTATGCGTTCCACAACATCAGTAATACTCGTCCTTCTTCGCAGATCTTTGTTTCTTATTCGGTCCCTCAACGTCACTCCCAGCATAGACCGTTCCATTCGTCTCCTGTCCACATTCCATTCTCACGTCGTGCACTGTCTCAATTTCGAATCCGTCTGCAGGTAGTCAACTAACATGAAACCCTCACAAGCGCCCTGACATGGCAATCCACATTTAAATTGAATGTAATATTCTAGTCAGTGGTCTACGGATAAAGCCTGGTTAATTCCTAGCTTATTTAGCTATATTCGGAATATGAAAATAATAGAAATATGATTGTTTTAATCGAAGTGTATTTAAAAAGACGAAAATCTTGAATTAAAAACCTTAAGTAACATATTTAGACTCCATTCCACGAATATACGACTGTTTTAA